TCAGGGCCACATGCATGCTAGGCAAGAGTTCTACCAATGAGCTACACTCCCAACCCCCATTCCTATTTTTTTACTACGTTTTTGTTACAGACACATCCCTACCCCTCTTGCTTGGTCTTCTGTCCTGTCCAATGTTCACTTCTTCATTGCCTTCTCTTAGCCAGTCAGTTCTTTCCTATTCACCACTTCATCTTCCTTGCCTTTACAGCTTCCTCATTACAAACTAGCACATAAAAGCCCCGAAACACATCAATTACACCAAAAGAGATCATCAAATATTTTAGGAAGTGGGAAGTTATCCTCACAGTGACAAGACAAAAAAAAAATCACCTTTAGATTTAATTCAGCCAATTTAAGAATTACCGATAGAGGCTTCAGTTATATGTGTGCCCAGCAATGTGCCTACTTAGCACTGTCTCCTACTTAGAGAGAGGTATGAGAAGAGGCAGAGAGTACAACAAAAGGAAAGAGTGGGTTGCAGTCCTCCTTTTCAAGAGACTTGCAATCTTAGGTAAAAAAAGACATGCAAGCATTATGCAACAACCGTAACTAACGGCTAATTATCTTGAAGGGCTTTCTATTGCCAGCCAAATTTACACATTATTCTGTTTAATCCTGCATGGTTGCACATTAGTTATCTATTGTTCCATAACAAATTACCATAAAACATGATGACTTAAAAATAGATATTAATATTTATTATCATGAACACTACCCCCACCAACAAACATTTTTTATCCTTTCTGTGGGTGAAAAATTTGATACAGTTGATTGGGGTTACAGACACCTGAAGGCTCAACTGGGGCTGACTCACATGACTGGTGGTTGATGCTGGTTATTGGCAGGAAGTCTCTGTTCCTCTCCATGTTATCTCTCCAGGGAGCTGCCTAAGTATCCTCATGATGTAGTAGCACATAGTACCACATTCTTGTCAAGGAACCTGGAATCAGGTAGGGAGAACAGACACATAGAGTCTCTGGGGAAGGAAAGAAAAGCACAAAAGACTTCAGGCAAGAAGTTCTGCCATGTTCTGGAAGTAAGTGAGGAAGGAAGGCTGTGTGACTGGAGTAAATTGAAAGAAGGAAATAACAGTAGGAAATAAGGTCAGAGAGGTAAGAGTTCATGTGGTCAGCAGATGACATAGCACCTTGCTGGTTGTAGATCATGAGGACTTTTACTTTGAGTGAGATGAGAAACTCCTGGAGGGTTTGGAAGAACAACATGATCTGGCTTGGACTTGAAAGATTCATATTGATCACAAAATTCTTAACAGACTGCAGAGGGGACAAGATCAGTTCAGAGGCTACTGCAATAATCCAGGGAAGAAATGGTAGCAGTTTGGACCAGGATGGTAGCAATGAGGTTAGTGAGAAATAGCTGGATTCTGGATACATTTTAATGCCAATAGGCTTTGTTGATGGACTGAATGTGGGTGTGAGAGGAAGTGAGGAGGGCCTGAGAGGAAGAGAGGATGAATCCAAGATTCCGGGCCACAGCATCTGAAAGAATGAAGTGCTTTTTACCTTTTAGCAGTGTGTGCTGTACTATTAAACACTTTAGCTTTTGCTAACTTTAATCCATGATGTAATCAAGGACCTAAGTTTTCAGTCTGTACAGTGTTTGTGTTCTGTTATTCCCGGGCTTGTCTTCCCAGGATTGTAAGATGGTTATAGCAGCTTTAGGCCCAATATCCTTAAGATTATACCAGGAAGAAAGAAAAGAAGCCTTCTCTTATTTCTCTCTCATTTTGTAGAAATTGTATTGACTTGTATCTCTTTTTAAGATAGAAAAAAACTTTCCTATAAAGTTTCCTTCCCCTCCATCATTCCCTGCAAAAGATGACTTCCATTCAGTATCAATAGCTAAAATTCCACCATATGCTCATGTTTAAACTAATATTTGATTAGGGTATGGGCCCCCCATGATTGACTTATATCCATCATAGCTTACTCCCTGGGTCTGGAATTGAGTCTCAGCATTCTTCAAACACACAGCCATGCATAAGAAAGTGGTTATTTGATAAATCAACAGGGTAGAAGGGAGAGTACTGGTTTTGGGGGCAGGCAGTCAGCAAAATCTATTACACCATTCTAAGGAATTTGGACTATATCATGTTAGAATAAGGAACCACTGAAGGATTTTAAGTCAAGAAACAGCATGAATGGATTTCCATGAATGGAGGGGCACTTAGGGGTACATGGGTTGGAAGACTTCATCAGAAGACATTGAAAAAGATTTCTGGCACTTGATTAAGAACACTTAGTGACCAACTGGATGGAAATGGGGAAAGAAAGTAGAAGGAAGGGATTCCAGAATAACTCTCACACAGGTTTCTGCTTGGATGAATCACAAGATATTTTCTCAAAGATGGAAATATGGATGGAGGGGGTTTGGATGGATGTGGTGGGAATGGAGAGAGAATAAGTTTAGTTTTGAATAATGAGGTGTCTTAAAAACACATGAAGAGAGACAAGTAAGTGTGAAAGAGTGAAGATCATCTTACTTGAAGTGTAGGAGGAAGGAGCATTGATAAGGGGAAATGAAGTAATGCATGTTACTGAAACCTAGTATGAACAGGTTTGGCTGATTTTGCTCAGAGTTGTGCATCAAGTGCATCTGGAGAAAAATTTGAATGTAATTGTAGACAAGCATTTAAAGAGCAGTTAAAACGTTTTTTGGAATATGGACTTCTATATTTGTTTCAACATGAAATTGAGATATAGCAAATAAAAAGAGAGAAATGCTCTCAATTTGACCGGCTGACTGGAAACCTCAGAACTTAGCCCTGTGAGCTATTAATCAGATAAGCATTGCAAGTTTTTGTAAAGCATCCTGCTTAACAAATGCCTGAGGGCATATGGGTTTATTAAAGGAAGCATTGTCCAAATGAAACTGTCAAAGAAAGTTTTACAAGAAAAGACCAATGAGAAAGTTTGGGGGTTAAAATGTAGGTTTCTTTTCTGTTTTATGACAGTAGTTATTTACATCCTCTAATTTTAGAGATGGTTTCAATGAACCTTTGAGTTTTAAGTTATAATTAGTTATAATTAGGGGCTGGGGTTGTGGCTTAGTGGTAGAGAGCTCACCTAGCATGCACGAGGCACTGGGTTCAATCCTCAGCACCACATAAATGTAAAATAAAGATATTAAAAAAATTAGTTATAATTATAAGTTGTAATATAGTTAATAAACTATTAGTTTATGAAATAGTGATAGTAGTAATTCTATTTCTGCTCAAAAGCACACATTTTTGGAGAACATCAAAGTTTGAAATATACATAGATTTAGAACTCTCAGAAGACAACTTCAAGAAGTTTTTAAAAAAATTTCAAAATATTTGTTGAGTTCTTTCCATTTCTACCTTATTTTAATCATTGAGCAGGGCTCTCAAATAATAAAAATATCTGATATTTGTATAATTTTGTGGTCAATCCCAACTTGAAGTAGTGTGAGGATTTAGAGACACAGAAAAAACAGAAATGAGAATAGAAGAAGAAGAAGTGACAAGTTAGCAAACCACTTATATTAAGACAGTAGTGGAGGGAAAAAGCAATAGTCATGAGAGACTGAATCTACAAATTAGAAAACTGGCAGATTATAAATAGCAACTAGAACCTGCCCCACACACTTGGCAGCAGAACCTGATCAATGACTGTCAGCTTCTCTATTTTTTTTTTTTTTTTTGCCATTCTCACCTCTAACTTAGGACCAACTAGAGATAGCCAAATATGCTCCCCCAAACCAATCACAAAGATGCCTGCTCCTAGTTAGCTTTCAGCTTCCCCATACTAATGCTCCCAAGTCAGGTTATACATGAACACCTCCCTCCACCTGTCCTTCTCTATTAAGCTTCCTCACTTCCCTGATAGCCTTTGAGTCTCTGCCAAATGCAAGTGACAGTGACAGACTCCTGATTATGGCCAATTTTGAGTAAAATACCCTTTGTTCTCATTTGAGTGCTCTTCACCCCTCAAAACATTCATTTCTTCATTTATTATACATTAGTCCTGTTGTATATGCCAGACAGTGGCCAGCTTTGGGAATATGAAGAGGCAGACAGTCCTGCCCCTAAGGATATTCTGGCTAGCGGGACAAACAGACACATAGATATAATTGTAATTCAAAGTGGTAAGGGGAACCATAGGTATGTATAAAAGAAGTGTAGGTCAGGTAAGTCTTTTACAAGATGACCCTTAAGACAAATGACAAGGGATAAACTGAGTTGGTCTGGCTAACAGGCAGAGAAGGGGTGCGTGGAAAGAGTTATTGAAGGTAGGCGACGGGTTGCAGAAGACGCGATAGGGGCGGGTCATGGAACGATGATAAACGTGACAGGTTGCGAAAATCTTAAGCCTTTATGTTGTCCAATCCACTCCCTCGGGGAAATAAGAGAGGACTGGGGAAAGCAAAGAAGACTAAAAACATTTAGATTCTTAAGCTCCAGGAGGGCAGAGACCCAAAAGCTCGTAATGGGTGGCACACGTATTCAAAGCATTTTGAATGGATGACCATAAGTACTTTAATGAAGTCATCGTCTAGGATTTATGTTTTTCTCATGGGACAGGACATCACTTTTGGTGGGCTATAGGGAAGGTTTGGGAGAACTGCCATTCTGTCAGGGAAGGATGGTGGTCACGAAACCTCCAATGGTTTGTGTGCATGGGATGCACTTCTGTCGCGAACACCCTGAGACCCACCAACCCGAGCACTAGGTCCTAGGAACAGCTGCGGAGAGTGACCCGTAGTGAACTCGCGCCACCGTGAGGGCAGCCCACACAGCGTCTCCGGGCATCTTTCACCTGTGCGCCCATCGCCCGCCCTTCCAGGCGGAGACTCGACACGACGCCTTTCCGATTGGACGTGGCTGGCAATCCCGGGGCGGGCATTAGATGCTGTGCGCTCTTGGGGATTGGCCATTCTGGCGGAGGACGTGCTGCCGGCGCAGCGGGTTCGCCCTTCGCTCTGGCTGCGTAGGGGGCGGGCCCGTCTCCCGGGTCCCGTGTCACTCATTGGCTCCGTGCGGTTTCCTTGGGGACGTGGCGCCGCCGCCGGCACGGGCCCTCCTTCCGGCTGGGCTGGAGGCTGTAGGAGCAGCTGTGGACACGGCGGATCCGAGCGGTGCAGAGGGACCGGCAGGCCGCTCGATCCCGTGAGTGGGAAGGCGGGAGAGCTGCGGGACCGGGGGAGACGGGGAGAGGAAATGGGGACCCTCTCTACCTGGGGATTGCAGATTCCTCGAAGACGGAGCTGGCCCATGGGAACGCTCCACTTCCAGATCTACCCGGATAGGGGGTCCTCTGGGCCTGAGGAATGAGAGAGGACAGACACGGAGTGGGAGCCGGGGAATGGGTGGGAGATGTGGAATTCTCGTGGAGGTCTAGTCTCGTGGGCACTGCTGGAGGTAAGCCTGAAACCCAGCCAACTCTTTCCAGGCTGCAGACTTAGGAGATGCCTGGGACAAGGAATCCACCTTCTCAGGTCAAAAGAAAAAGGAGGTGACAGACCACTGAAGGGAACCCATGGCTAGGTAAGGCTGCACACTTTCTCCCTGATTGGGGACTTCAATGGAGGATGGCAGGAGGACCGTGGGGAGGGGATCCTGAGACTATTATCTATGAGGTCTGCCCTGAGGCTGCACCTGGACTTTGCTTCCTGTCCAGGAGTATGCAAAGATGGTCAAAGCTGTGTTTTTTTGAAGGCAGGTGCAATAAAGAATTTTCATCCAGTGACCCTAGGATTGTAGAGGGAGTTTGTTCACTCAGCTCTGAAAAGTGCTAGATTGTAATATTCTTTCAGATTTCCATCTGAGTGAAGCTAAATGTCCCTTGAGGAAGTTAAACTGGCATTATTTTTTGAATCACTATAGAAAGTGAACCTCACAATTGAATACAGTTATCCATATATTATAATTCTCTGAAACTTTTTTTTTAAAAAAAGATAAATGTAGATCTACATAACCCAATATGGGATGGTTGCAAAAGAGAGTGAAGGAAAGAAGCAGAACCATTTTTTGTGCTACCTTTTTTGTAAGACCAAGGGAATGGGCACACACACACACACACACACACACAGATATTACCACATGTATTGCTATGTATTTATACCTGTGTAGCCATAGACTATTCCTGGAAAGATACATTGAAAGTCGGTAGCAGTGGTTACCTCTTAGAGAGAGAGGTGGTGGGGTCAGATCAAAAGATTCACTTTTTACTAAATTTTGAACTGTTTTATTTATTTATTTACCACATGAATATATAACTTATTAAAACATTTAAAAAGTAAGTTGAGTAATTTTTCTGACTATCCAGTTTCTTGTCAGCGTTCCTGGTGGTAATGTTGTAGTTGGTCTGATTCTCCAGTGTTATAAGTTCCTACAGGAGCTTGGTGATCTTTTCATTAATATGAGATTAATTCTTTGAATTGCACACAAAAGTACAGAGTTTGGAAAGAGAAGATAAGACTTTTCTGATTTACATAGAAGCACCATGAACAGTATAGGTGCTTTTTTAAAATTTGAGATTAAAACAATAGACTTTTTCTTGGCATTTTTTTTTTTTTTGTCTTTATTAGGAGGGCTTTTATCCAATTTAAAACCTACTTTAAGCACTCAATCTTGGAGACTTTTCAGGCTTAATTTATGTTTGTCTCATTTCAGGATCAGTTTTTCCTACCTCTGCCCAGCTTCCTGGTACTTCACTGTGCCCACAGTGAGCCCATTTCTCCGTCAGCGGGTAGCATTCCTGGGGCTCTTCTTCATATCCTGTCTCCTTTTACTTATGTTAATCATGGACTTTCGACATTGGGGTGCATCATTACCAAGAGATAGGCAGTATGAAAGGTGAGTCAGCTTTAGATCACTGAGCTGCTTTGGCACTGAAGTCATTGACATTTTGATAAGCTGTTTAACATACTACTACCTTTGGCCCTTTGGGGGGATATTGTACTTTTAATAGTAAAGATTGCATGTTATTTATTACTTAAGAAAAATCTTAAACTCCATTTTGTCTGTGTTCAGTTTTGATTCAGAAATGCTGATACTGCCTTTTAATCATGAAAGGCATCTTTCTATTTTCTTGTTTTGGTGGGCTGACTTACTGGGTGCATAAATGTTTAGGATTTTTGTGCATCCTTGATGAATTGATCCCTGTACTGTTAAATGATTCTCTTTGTCCTTGATTATATTGTTTGCTCTGAAAGCTACTAATCTGGTATTATTACAACTGCTTCAGCTTTCTTTTGATTAATGTTAGCATGATTGATCTTTAGTTTGTGCTCTTAGTTTTAGCCTATTTTTGTCTTAGTATTTAAAGTGGGCTGCTCCTAGTTACTGTTTAGTTCAGCCTCACTTTTTATCCAGTCTGACAATCTCTGCTTTTTAAAAAAATATTTATTTTTTAGTTGTAGTTGGACATAGTACCTTTATTTTATTTATTTATTTTTATGTGATGCTGAGGATCGAACCCAGGGCCTCACATGTGCTAGGCAAGTGCTGTACCACTGAGCCACAACCCCAGCCCCAATCTCTGCTTTTTAATTGGGGTGTTTAGGCCACTTAATTATTAATTGAGTTTAATCTATATTGCTGTTTGTTTTCTATTTGTCACATTTTGTTCATGTTTCCTCTTTTTTTTTTCAATTTTTTTTTTAGTTGTTGATAGACCTTTATTTTATTTATTTATATGTGGTGCTGAGAACCGAACCCAGGGCCTCACACATGCCAGGCAAATGCTCTACGACTGAGCCCCAGCCCCAGCCCTTTCCTCTTTTCTTTTTTTTAAATTGAGTGTATATATTTTTTTCTGATTACATTTTATCTCTTTTGTTTGCTTAAAAGATATAACTCTTTTTTAAAGTGATTGCTTTAGGTTTTATAGTATACATCTTGAACTTACCAGAGTCTATTAAAGTAATATCACACCTCTTCACAAATATTATAACAACCTAACAGTAGTATACTTTCATTCCTCCATTCCCCTGGGTCTCTGTGCTATAGTTGTCGTACATTGTATTTCTTACATATAACTTCCACATATGTTGTTATTATCTTTTCTTTAAACAGTCAATTATCTTTTAAAGAGATTTTTAAAAATAAGAAAAAAAAGACTTGTATATTTACCCATGTATTTACTCTATCTGGGTTCTTCATTTTTTTTGTACAGATCTTTATTTCCATCTGGTGTCATTTCCGTTTTTTTTCTAAAGAATTTTCTTTCAATTTCTAGCAGAGCAAGTCTGCAGGTGATGAATTTCTTCAATTTTTGTATGACAGAAGAAATCCTTATTTTGTTTTCCTTTTAAAAGAAATATTCATTGGTTGTAGAACTCTAGGTCAATTGGTTTTTTTCTTTGATTATTTTAAAGATGATGCTCTCTTGACTTTTGGCTGGCATTCTTGTGGAGAAGTCTGCTGTCATTTTTATCTTTCATCTTTCTGTATATAATGTGTTTTTTTCCTCTGACAGCATTTAAGATTTTCTTTCTTTTCCTTCCCTTTATTTCTTCCTTCTTTTCCATCTTTCTTTTGACTGGGGATTGAACCCAGGGGTGCTTTACCACTGAGCTACATTCCCAGTCCTTTTAATTTTGTTTATATTGAGACACTAAGTTGCTGAGACTGGCCTTGAGCTTGCTATCCTCCTGCTCCAGCCTCCTAAGTCACTGGGATACATGTGTACACCACTGTGCCCAGCCTTTTAAGATTTTCTTTTCTTTCTATAGGCACCAGAGATTAAACTCAAGGCACTTAACCACTGAGCCATATCCCCATCCCTTTTTTATTTTGAGACAGGATCTTGCTACATTGCTTAGTGCCCCACTAAGTTGCCGAGGCTTACCTAGAACTTGTGATCCTCTTGTCTCAGTTTCCCAAGCTGCTGGGATTACAGGTGTGCACCACTGTGACCGGCTAAGATTATCTTTTTATCACTGGTTTTAAGCAATTTGATCATGATGTGCTTTGTTATAGTTTCCTAAATAATTTGTGATTCTTATTTGGGAGAAACATTGGCTGAGAACTTGCTGTGTGCGTGACATTGTGATAAGCATGGCGATACAAAGATAAAGTGTGGTCCTTGGATTTTTGGATCTACGGATTTGTAGTTTTTAATCAAATTTGGAAAAAGTTTGCCAGTTATTTCTAAATATATTTTTCTGTCCTCCCCAGTTCTCCTTTGGGGACTCCAGTTGCATATATATGGAGCCATGTAATATTTTCCACAGCTCACTGATTATCTTGTTTTCCCCCCAGTAGGTTTTTTTTTTCCCCTGTGTTTGATTTGGATATTTTATTGCTGTGTTTTCAAGTTCATTAGCACTTTCTTCTGTATTATCTCATCTACTGTTAATTCCATCTGGTGAAAACTGAATACCTTTTTTCATGGAAAACTCATCTGAGTTACTTGACATTCTTTCAGTGCCATACCAATTGCACAGAAGATCTGCATTCTTTTATAGCAGTGATTCATTTGATTATTTTTCTTTTTTTTGTGGTTAGTTTCTGCAGAAGCTACAAAATTAAATGATGGCATGTTGTGTTCATCATCTTCAAAATGATTTTCTAATTTATTTTAGAATTTTCATTTCCTTATTGCTCCTCAGATATGTATCAGGAGACTTCAGGCAGCAAGTAACAGCCAAAACTGACTTAAATAATAAAAAATTTTATTGGCTTACAAAACCAGAAGTCCAGGGATAGAGGGACCACAAGTTCAACATTGGCTAGCAGGATGGGAATCTCTGTCTCCTCTCCATTTTCCACAATGTCAGCTAGTTTAATGGTTGCAAAATAGCAGTCAATAGCAAGCAAAGCAACATGCATCCTCACTCATGTCCTGTGGGAGAGAGGAACAGGTGCTCCATGGCCCTCTTCTGAGAATGAACTACCTTCCCATAAACCTCCAGCAACCCTTTCCTTGAATCTCTTTTGGTCAGAATTGAGACACATGCCTACTCTTCTTTTTGTTTTGGGGTGAATCTGTCCCCAGTATGTGTTTTCTATTAATTCTTATCATTAATTCATTAAATAAAACTTTATTGAGCAGCCACTGTGTGGAGGTGATAATAGACATGAGGACAGGGAGACTTTGGTACCTTTCCTTCTGTAGCAGCTCTATTCATTTGTATTGTCTGAATCTTCCTTTCCTGAAGAGGAAGCACTGTTTGGGTGACTATAGTACTCAACAGTTGGCTTTAAGAAACCTGTTAACATTGGAGACCTAAACCATAAGTTTAGTTTCTTTAATGCTTATTGGGATTTTCTTGACAAACCTAAGTACATTTTCTCACAGGAAAACAACATGGTCTAATTATGGAATTCCATATAGATTAGTTTATATGGCCAGAGAGACAATTAGGGAGTGAGTAGTGAGCTGTATAAATGGAGATGTAGATCAGGCTGGGAGTCTCCTAAGCCATTTTAGGGGGTTAGATATCATCCTAAGGGTAGAGGGGAGGCTCTAAAAGATTTTTGAGAGTATTGTGATCTGACTTGCTTTTTGAAGAAAGCTCACTTTGGTGGCATTGTGAAGAATGAATTAGGGGCTGGGGATGTGGCTCAAGCGGTATCGCGCTCACCTGGCATGCATGCGGCCCGGGTTCGATCCTCAGCACCACATACAAACAAAGATGTTGTGTCCGCCGAAAACTAAAAAAAAAATAATAAATAAATATTAAAAAAATCTCTCTCTCTCTTTTAAATATTTATTTTTTTTAGTTGTACACAATACATTTATTTTGTTTATTTATTTTTATGTGGTGTTGAGGATCGAACCCAGGGCCTCACGCACGCCAGGCGAGCGCTCTACCGCTGAGCCACAACCCCAGCCCTCTCTCTCTCTCTCTTAAAAAAAAAAAAAAAAAGGATGAATTGGAGGGGAATAAAAAGAAAGCAGAGAGACTAATTGGAATACTTTAATAGAGATGATGGTGGCCAGAACTTGGGTAGCAGAAACATGGATTGAGAAAAGTAAAAACATTTGAACCACAAGTGGGAGGAGGAGTGATTCAGTAGTTTTTTTGTTTGTTTTGTTTTGTTTTTTGTGTGTGGTACTGGTGACCAAACCCAGGGCCTTGTGCATTCTAGGCTGACACTACACTGCTGAGCCATGCCACTGGACCCTGATCCAATAGTTCTTATTTTCCACAGTATGCCAAGTGACCAGATTCAATAAATACTTATTAGGTTGAATTAACTGAAACAGCTGCAGAGCTGAGGAACACACAGACTGCACATTGTAATGACATTATCCAAGTGTTAATATCCTGTAAGGCTCTTGCACAGCAGCCAGCGGCCAGCAGCCACGTAGCCTAGGACTCGTTGTTATTAATGAAAGGTTATGTACATATTGTCACAGATTACCATATCTCATTAAACTTCACTCATGAATCATGTAGGAGGTAAACATTTGCTGACAGCTTGACATGCATGAAATTGTTAGGCACTGGGGTACAAAGATGAATAAAACGTGGCTTCTGAACTCATAGTTCATGATCTAATTACAGAGACAGACTTGAAGGAATAATTATTTCCCAGTGAGATAATAGTTTATATGCAGCTGTGTAGAACCAGGAGCAAAGAATTAGAAACTGTACACAGGTAGGAATCGGGAACAAAGTTAAGAATCAGAAATTTGTCAGAAGAGGCCCATGAGGAACCAAACTTGATATCACTAAGCTCATGTCCTAAAAGTGCATGTACTTTACTGATAAGATAGACTATATTACATAAAACCTGCTTGCTTTTCTTGTACACACAGTTTTATTCATATGGTTCTCTCTTAATGTAACAGAATAATATCACATTGGAATATGCAGGTGAGGTGAGGTGTGTCAATAGCTGTA